CAAAGCCAAACATCTGCTTGGCATCCAATGGTGTTCACAATTTTTTTTCTTTAAGGGAATCTCTGCTGAGCATTTATTAGCGTCATGGGTACTTTCTGACTACGTTTTAAGTAGAACATATATTTAGAGAAATTCTTAAAGCTAAAGGCAATCTCTAAAGATTTAAGAAGTAGATCTGCCTTTATTTAATGCACTCATGCTATCACAGCAAATATTCCATGTCCCTTCAGACTTCTTGCAGGACCCCTTGATCGGAGGAAGGTGAAAGGTTTTGCCTGGAATGCCACTCCCAAATGACAACGCTCAATGAAGTCAAGTGTTTTTTTAAACACTATGGGGAAAATGGCCTAAAAGGGGGTTAAACTTTGATTAGAGATGTTGCAAGTAGGAAAAAATGCTTACTTGAATTTAACTTTTGCTTTTCAGAAGACATGAGTACATAAACTATGTAGAAGAACAATGATTACTAGATAGTCTAAAAGCTGGAGGCTCTAAGCCAATTTTCAACCAACTGTCACAGAAAATAAGTTTCGAAATATGTTTAAACTAAACTGACAACTACAGAAAAAATGTAAAATTATTTGAAAGGCTGGGTTATGTGAACTGATGAGGACCTCAGAAACCACATGCTATTTAACACACAGTAATACTTCACTGCAACATTCCCACTCTCTTCTGGAGGGAATATTAAAAGAGGTAGAACAGATGCTTCCCCAAATTAAGCTGGTCCCAGCAGTAGAAAGACTATTCCCAGCAGAGTGGCCAACAGAAGGAAGGTTCATCCAAAACCCAAAAGGGCTATGAGACGTCCTCTGGCCCAGAAGCTTTCCAGCCAGGACAAGATGACCCAGGAAGGGGGCATGTGTGTATTTCCTACTCTACTATGTCGAAGCTGCTCCACTTTTATTTGCTTTCTACATCTGGGTTCCCTGGAAGACTGGAATCACTGATATTCAAATCTCTTTCTTTTACAGGTCACAAAACCAAGGCCAGAGAGATTGCATCAGATATTCAAACTGCCAAAGCAGTAGAGCTAGAATAAGCATTCTGCAAATCTCTAGATAAAATGCCTTTACACCAATTATACAGACTGTAAGACCTGAGGGCATAAAGCACCGGTCACAGACTAGGAATTACTTATTTAGTACAGCTACGGCCTGGAATAGTGCTTGATTTCAGTTGTATCCACAAATCTCCATGAGTCTTAGAACAAGCTTTTCCCCCTATGTCTACCTCTCCAAGGAGTTTCAGTGAGTCTGTAAAACCCCTGAAGGGGTGCATGCAACTTTACATGTTTGTGTGTATGTGTACTTCTTGAGGGAATGGTCTGTAACTTTAATTTATTCTCCAAAAATATCTGTGATCACAACAAATCAAAAGAATCAGTAGACTTGAGCGAGGAAGTAGAGGGGAAGACGGACCATAAAGAGGCAGTTTATGTTTATAACCAGGAAAATGTATCAGAAACTACCTATAAACTAGGTGCATGGTTCCTACTAAACAAGTCAGGTTATGCAGGAAAATACAATGTTAAAAATAAAAGCAGCACAGTATCCATGAAAGCACAGTATCCGGCTGGGCGAGGTGGCTCATTTCTGTAATCCCAGCACTTTGGGAGGCTGAGGTGCGTGGACTGACTGAGCTCAGGAGTTTGAGACCAGCCTGAGCAACATGGCAAAAGCCTGGCTCTACTAAAAATACAAAAAATTAGCCAAGCATGGTGGTACACACTTGTAATCCCAGCTACTCGGGAGGCTGAGATATGAGAATTGCTTGAACCTGGGAGGTGGAGGTTGTAGTGAGCTGAGAGATTGCACCACTGCACTCTCCAGCCTGGGTGACAGGGCCAGACTCTGTCTCTTAAAAAAAAAAAAAAAAAAACAGGAAAGAAAACACAGTGCTTGTTAGCCTGATAAGACAGGTTTCATTCTACTTCTTGGGTTTTATATACTTAAGAAAAATATTTGAGGCATAACATTCAACCTATACTTTGGAAACCAAAACCACCAGGGCTCCAGAGCCCTGAATAAATTTGGGGTGGGGGGATTAGTGCTGTCTCCGAAAATTTCCTTCATGAAAACAGTGGTAAGAGAGAGACATAATGTCTACTGCCTGGGAACAACTGTTTCAATTCAGCTGAAGATTCTGGAGGGACACTGCTCATCTTTATAACTGTGTCAATGAGGCAAACACTAACATCTGCCTCATTCTGCCCCATATGCTGATAATAGCAGGGAAGAAAGTGGATGATGCAATCTGAGGATGGAACTAACACGGAGATTCTCATCATTTGTTACAGGAAGGCTTTCCCCTCTACTTCCAGTCTACCTAGGGCTGAAGAGAAGACTGCAGAGGAAGATCAGATTCTGAATTATCTGCATGTGTGTGGAATGACAAGTAGTAGATTGGAAAATAGTTTAAATTCGAGAGAAGAGCCCATAAAGTCAGCATGAACATACATGAATTTGGGAAACAGTACCGAACTGTATTTTGAAATAATAATCAGTATTTATCTGGAGCGTCTATCTTCTAATGGAGTAAAATAGAGAATTTCCTGAGGCTGGGAGATTGTAATCATCTGAGAAACGAAGAATGACACTCAGGTTTAACTGGAAAGAAGGATACGCAGCATGGCCCACCTATTCCTATCCAGGGACAGAGGCATTATCATGGAAATTATACTTTGAGGTCAGTAAGCAAAATGGCAAGAAGATGGTCTGTGCCAATAGTTTAAATGCCGAGAGGCACCAGGCCAAGAAGGTACACAGACATAAATCCAGCAGTGGCACTGATGTAATTATGGGCTTAGACTAATTCTCAAAAGCAAGGCCGGAAGCTGAACCACAGTCCTTATGGGAAAACAGAGAGTATGAAGGAAATTAGAAGAAAAAAGCTGAGGAAAGATATGTTACTTAAGAAAAAAAAAAAAAAAACAGCAACCCTAAAACTCGAAATAAAAGGCAGTGTCTGCATAGGGACCTTCATGGTCTTGAAACATGCATAAAACAGAACCAAGGGAGGAAGGGGCCACACACAGCTTTATAAGATCCGTTTCAGAGCTGAGCCGCACGTGCATGGCAGGGTGTGATTCCCTCCCAGGGGCCTGGGGCCTGGAGAAGCCCAGAGGTCCATGTGACTTGTGAGCATCCAGAACAATGATTTCGGGAGGGAATTTCACAAGCACAGAACATATTTTTTCTCCCTTGACTCTGTTTTCTAGTTTTTCTCTCCCTCTGCTATTAATTTTGTGGTTTGACTTTTTGAAGAATGGTGGGAGGTATTGTGTTAAGCAATGCTATAAGAATGAGGCTCAGCTGCAATGGCTGCATTATGAAAATTGGCCTCCCACATCTTTCAAACCGAATTGTGACTTGACTTAAATCAAATAGAAAGATACATGAAGGAGAGCAGGTATCAAATGTTACTCATCTTTTATGTGTCGCACTGTGTCCAGCACACAGAAAGCAGGCGCATAACAGATCCTGATGCTGGGGAACTGGCCATTTTATCGAAATACTTCTGTATTCTGTTTCTTGTTCTGTTTCCAACTAGGAGCCAGCAGTCCTAACACTTTTGTGCATTTAAGCAATCTTTTGTTGATCCTTATGATCCCATTAGTGAAAGTGATTAAGTGACCAAATCTGGCACAACATTATTCTGATGAAAAGTGTCAAAGTTGAACATTAGTCACACTTAGTCAAGATATTTGCAAGGAATCAAGCAAAACCACTGTAAAAGCAAATTGTAAAAAGCATGAGAATACCAAAGTAAAAATGAATCAAAATGATTTCCAACCTCTTTCTTCATGATTAAGCAAAGAGCCTGATTACTACTAATATTAAATATCAGTACAATATGTTGTCCAAGAATTTTATAGTACTATTATTTATTAATACATACCACAGAGAAGAAAAATAAATTATATGACTAAAATAATTAGAATCCTGGGAAAGATGCTTATAAAAGATATTGAAAATGGTTTAAGTTATATTTCAGAAAGTATATCTCAACTGAAACTTAGGAAATGTTTATAAGGTGTGCCTTATAATTCATAAATATCATATATAAAATATTTAAGTGAATAAACCCAGACCAAAAAAGGTATAAAAAGCATAACCTAACTTTATTAGTAAATGTCTTTTTAAAGCAAACAGAATAGTTTTAAAGATAATACCAAAAGCACAGGTTCTGAGAAATATTTCAGAATGCCCACTAACATTTTATCTCCCAGGAGGAGACGGCAATTTGAGAAACTAGATCTACCCTAGATCTAGACCAATCAACTCCTAAGATTCAATAGTGAATGAAAAAGAGAAAATCCTTAGGTTCATGGTGATCAGAAAAGAGGAGACTGGGCATATTTATCCTATTCATGAACCTACTTTAGGTCTTAGGAAGACAGAGTTTAAATAATTTATACAAAAATATAGGGAAGATTCCTTGACAAGAAACTCAGGAAGGACTGGAGTTATGTAGTTTACAAAATTCTATGAATTAGGTCTTGATAACTCAAAAGAGATTTTAATTTAGGATATGGGCAATTTTATAAATTAGAGGGCAAAGGACTGTATAGCCAATAAATGACTCTCAGAAAAATGCCCAGCTATTTGGAAAATGATTCAGTTTGCGCCTTTCATTATGCTATTCCCAAAAAATAAGTCTTAGCACAGCTGGATCAAAGATTTACATGTAGAAAACAGGACCTTTAGAGAAGTGACCCAGATGGAAATGCAGGTAGATAATGAATTTTAAGCAAAGATAATGGCAAGAAACCTGTCGATTCCAATGATGAACAATACCTGTTAATGATTGTTAGGACTCACTTTTAAAAACTGCTAACAAATTCCATCCCAGTTTGTAAACCTCGAGTCTTGAGTGAACACATTAATAAGTAACCTAACATTTACAAACTCTGGATTACTTTCATTGAAGTTTACAAATCAAGAACTTAGGATCAAGTCACTCTTCACTAACATCTGACAATGTTAAGGAGAACTTACCGACAGCAAATGACAGCTTTGCATGACAAAGCCAAGTCCAGGAAATACTGTCGTACTCCAAAGGTTAAGGCATATTTGAGGGTTTTCCCATCAATTATAAGAGCAAAATCATTCTCTTTCCGGAGAGCATCACCAAGGGTAGTACAGTGACGACTGAGAGTTTCCCTTGTTCCCTGGAATATTAAACAAGCAAAAAATGCCATCAACATTTACTCCCATTTGTTCTACTACGACGCCTGAAAGATATTTGGCAACTACATTTAGTTCTTTTTAGTGCTTTTGATGTTTCAAATTGCTTTCACATACCTCCAGTCATTTGATTCTCACTAGCCCCTCTGGAGCCCAGACAGTTGTTATCAGAAAACGTTAGCTACTTGATTGAAGTCATACATCTGTTCCTAGCAGGGCTGGGAGTAGACTACAAGTCACCCATTCCTCAGATGATTCTGTAGTCTTTGCTCATTATTCTAACCACGACCATGCAATTACAGTACTACAAACATATTTTCAGTAAATTATTTTGCTAAAAAGTTGTGTTAATTTATGAGCTAGTCAAAGTTGTTTCTCCATGAATCAAGGGAAAAAGTTGGGGAATATATGCATCACGTAACTACATTTTGGTCAACAGACTGCATATCCCATGGTGGTCTCATAAGATTGTAAGACCATATTTTTACTGTGCCTTTTCTACGTTTAGATATACAAATATCACTGTGTTACGACTGCCTACAGTATTCAGTACAGCAACAGGCTGTATGGGCTTGTAGCCTAGAAGCAATGGGCCATTTTGTATAGCCTGAGTCTGGAACAGGCTATGCCATCTAGGTTTGTGCAAGTACCCTCTATGATGTTCATACAATGACAAAACTGCCAAATGTCGTATTTCTCAGAATGTATCCCTTCATTAAGCAAACTGTAATTTAAATAATCTATGAGCATCCTTTCAAAAGTCCTCAATACTACTGAATTTAATTCCTAGTAACTAAGAGAGGAAATGCAGAATCTGTGAATTCTTGCCACTTTTATGAACTGGCTTTGGTAACTTTAATCATCATTTCATGATGCTATATTTTAGTTGGGGATGGTGAACTGTGACTTGGTAATCTTGATGGATCAAATGAATGAAGAGTTCATTTTCAGGCACAATAAAAGCCTTTAGTGTCAAGGACAGCTTTCTTCATCTCAACTATACAGAAGGGATGTATTTGTCTCCCTTTGTCACTGTTTTCCCAGCTCTTCAAAGGGATAAAGTTTCAATATATTTAACTTTTCTCCCCACATCCTATAGATTCTTCCCATAACCTAACGGAGCCAATTTTCTATCTCACAAGAACCCTACCATGGTAAAGAAACACAACACTGGCTTTGCCCAAGGAAATATAATGAATAATTTCCCTCCTATCATATTTTTGTTCTGAATGCTAAGCCTGCACTTATTTGTAAAATAAATACAAATGTATGTATTTATGTAATAAAATATACCTACAATAAAAATACAGTACACTTATATAACAATTTTTATTATGTTCATGGGATTTACAATTATTGTTCCAATTTAAGCACGTTGTTTTATATATATATATATATATGGAGAGAGAGAGAGAGACAGAGTCATTTTATAGTTATTTCACAAACGGAGAAGCAAAGGCATAAGTAATTAAAATTTTACTTTGGGGATTTTTGAAGGTGTTTTTACGTTTGTATGCAAATGTGGTTCACACCATGTTCTAGAATATCAGAATCTTTTTACCAAAATAACAGAACCATGTTGTACTATAAAGATTTCCCAACGTTTCCAATGCTGAAGTTTCACTTAACAGTTGCCCTGTTCCCCATTACACACAGTGACAGGAAGGACCACCATATAGCAGCATTCTTTACAAAATTTGCTGTTCACACTTTACATTGGGGATGGGGAGACTGTAACTGTTCTACTTTACAAGCCTCACCCTCCTGTTTCCTGCTGGAAATTTTTGGCCCAAGAGGACTTGAAGTGAAAAATGCTGGTAATAATTCTGCAAGCAAAATTTACTAATGACAATCTATAATAGATTTCCCCTGGATTATCTTAAAAGCAAATTCATATAGATTGAATGAACAAATAAGTCAATGAACTAATAAAAGGTATTTAGCACATACGACATTACTAGGCACTGTTCTGCAGGCTACACACAGAGATGCAACATTTAAGTTAACACTTGCTACCACCCCCAGCTGGAGGCACTACTGTTATCTCCACTCTGCAAATGAGAGTGTCTCAGCTCCTTGCTCAAAAATATGTGGCTATCAAGTAGTAACATCAAAGTGAGAATTAAATTTCTATAGTAGCCTGTCCTTTTCCATACAATCCAGCAAAAAAAAAACAAAACCAAAAAACAAAAAACAACAAACCAAACTTCAGACAGTACCAGGCACAGCAAGTTATAAATGGAATGCCCACACCAGTCCCTCTGTTGCTTCCCTTGAGTCCTCATCTGTCTCTCATCTTGTCTTTACCGCCAACAGAGATTTCTCTTTATAAAACAAATTTAAAACACAAATCTTGTCTCTACTTGCTTTAAAGTTTTTCTAGGGCTTTCTACAGCTGACAAAATAAAGTCCCAACTCCTTAAAATGGCATATAAGGCTTTCTACAATCTGAGCCTAACACACTTTCCTTCCCATTGCCCTTCACAATCTTGGTTCCTTTTGTTTCCCTCTCCCTGGAATTGCCCTCCTCTCCAGAGGCTGCCTTCAAAAACCAATCTTACCCAGGTTCAGTCCACGCTACCATGTGTAACTCATTCTACCCTCAGGAAAGACCGCGTTTTACCTGTTTCTTAGCAACAAAGGCAGTGTCTGCAATTTCAGATGCTCAGGAAATACATATTTATTGAATGCGGGCATTGATACATTCTGATTTCATCCCATTGGCAATGCTCCATTTCCCCCTTTTTATGACTTCTGATTAGAGAAAGAAAGAGAGCGAGAGAGACAGACACACAGAGAGGTCTTCTTGCTCCCGAATTTTCTAGGGAACAAATAATCTATTACTTTAACAGACTTTCAAACAAAGGCATTGCTGACTAAAATGCCTCTGTATTTTCTTTTAAGCTATTGTCCAAGTGATTCCTGAGCTGAAAACCTGAAATGAAACCTAGGACAGACCTCAGGAGAACTTTCAACTTTCTTGAAAGCTCAGCTGCAAAATAAGACTGAAAGTCAAGTAAACCCCAGAACTGTGAAATGCCCTCATGAACCAAGTGGGGGATGCAGTCCTGTGGTCCCCACTCTCCCTCCTTTCTAAGGCATTCTCTAACACCTTAAAATTTGTTGAAAACTCTCTAAACTTGTGGCATTAGTACCCCTGTGTTTTGCTGGTGACTGTCGCAGTTCTCTGGCAAATCAGAAGGTGTCAAGAGATGTGATAGAAATAACACTTCAGAAGGTAAGTCAAAAACTTCCCACAGTGAATTCTCTCGTCAGCCCACCTAGGGTTCAAGGTAACAACAATAGAAAAAGCTGCAAACATTTTCTTATTTTATAGTTTTCTTTTGTAAGTAGCTCTGTTGTTAGCTGTGTGCTGCCAGTTACAAGTTATATTTTATCCATATTTACTGCTGGGAATATTTTCAAATTCTTTTATTTATGAAAGTTTATTGCTTCTCCCCTAAGTCCAGGAGCCATGCTTTATGGCTGCATTGCACTGAAGCTTATCTCCTGTAGCTAAGAATAAATTTATTACTATATTAGCTGTTGTTTTATTTTCTTTTTGGCTACTGAAGGGGGAAATTTTTAAATATTTAAACTTAGTGACTTGTGAAAGTGAAAACATAGCAATGAGAAGCTAAATCAGAAAAAGGATAAAAGACTACAACACAAGCACAACGAAATGAAAGGTCTCTATTTCCTTGTTCTTCATATTTTCACTTGTGGGCTGAAAGTTTGGGATCATTGGATACATTGCAAGGTAAAGGCAATTTCGGGAGGACAGGCAAGGGGAAAGGCTGAGGATCAGACACTTAGCCAGGCAAGGGAGGGAGCCACAGTGGAAAGTGAGATTGTTGTGCCCCTTCCCTGACCTGCACCCTGTGTGGTCATTCTGGAGAATCATTCTGCTCTGCTCTCCCCATATCCACAGCACCACACAGAGCCCAGTGCTCACTGGAAGCCCTTAGCCTGAGCCTCCTACCATGCTTTCTTGCCTTGCCAATTCACCATTTAGGTCACACCCAACATGACTTCTTGGTTCTGTCTTGTTAACACAGAAAGAAAAAAGCCACCTCACTCACTCTTCTTATGTTGCTGCTTATCAGTGGTGATCCAGATTTTTATCTGTGCTTAGTGGATTCCATTTTTCCCAGAGGCTACTCCAGACCTTTTCTTCTCCTCTCAAGAGTCCAAATTTAACCCGTCACTTCAGCAAACATTGGCCCGTTTTACTGAGAACACTTATACATTTATAGCAGAAAGAATTCCCTCAGTTTTCCTTCCTTAACCTCAAAACTTCCCTTTACCTAATCCTCTCTAGTTCCTGAGCTGGGGGAACACCTGCCTTCTCACCTCTGTTTCTTTCACTTCTCTTTGCATCTTCATGCTCTCCATTGGCACTATATCCTTTTTCTCTAAGCCTACCTAAAAGGTCACAATTTTCTTACTCTAAAAATAATGAACAAATAAGCCAAGACACATTCCCTTGACCCTATTTTCCCTGAGTCCTCCAGGTGACATCAATACTTCTATCTTTTGGATCCCTGAAATACTTCATTTACAGTATACTTATACAAGGTAGCATGATGTCCAGTAGCTTATCTATTTATATCTCTATATTTCCTTTGGAACAGAGATCTTTGATGAAAAGTTAATAACAGAATAACCAAATTATTCATGATTGGAGAATATCTTATAGGAAGTTAAAGTGGTTTTCTTGTGTGACCATTTTAAGGAGTGTTTTCTGCTGCCTGTAAAACGCCTATATAATTTTAAATACTCTGATTTAGAATAAAGAAAATGCTAATGTGCTTATCTCACAGAGAAAATGAAAAACAAAGAGGTCATTATGATCTAACATCTACTTTGGCCTTAAATAATTTAAACTGTCTAGTGAATATAATACAATGTATAGTTAAATCAGCTACTTAGTCATCAAATTAGGTTGTAGAACAGTGGGGGAAGGAGAAATAATATTTATTTG